TTACCCCCCAGGAAAAGCAAAAAAGGATCTCGAAAAAAAAAAAAAAAAAAATCAGCTCCACACATAAATAGAATACAGTGTTAACTTCTGCTTGGCTGTGACACCTCCAATAGCTTACATTAAAAAATAAAATAAAAAAGAACTTATGTTAATGTCTTAATTTACACCAAAAATATAAGTAAAAATAATCAAATCCCTGTTTAAGACTACACCTGAATATCAAGTAAAAAGAAAAGCATTAAAATCTCCCCATATTTGTGGCCCTCCCTTTCATCTCACACAAAAAAAAAGACAAAAATAAACATTTTCACATTGCTTAAAACCTAAAAATTAAAAAGCCCCCCCAAAAAAAAAAAAAAATCTCTTAAATAAATTATTTTAAATAATCCAAATGATTCACTTGAAAAATCGAAGAAAAAAAAAATCATTTGGAACTCTGTCTGCAATAAATTATTAAAGAATGCCAAGCAACTTTGTGCCCCTTTTTCCCCCACTCTAACCCAAGCTGCAGAAAATACAATGAATAACCTCAGATAACAATCGGAAAAGCAAAATGCTTTCCAATGTCAAAAGGTAGGATTCCAACTACCTCTACATTTAAGAACTCTGGTTCGATAATTATCCACTGGTTATTGCTGAGCGGGTGTGGCACAGTGTAAGCCTTGAGAAAAAAAAATATATATAAAAAAAAAGGGGGGAAAAAATATTCTTTGTTCGTCAGGCAGTGTTTGGTGTGGTACTTGTATGTCCACCCTTAGTAGAGGAAGAGCAAAAGGCTCCAGGCCTGGGCTCTGTTCAATACTGTTAAATGCATGTAGAATGGTGAAAATCTGAAGGTGTCAAACAAAGAAGCGTGCATGACCGTGTCGATTGAGCTTCAAGATTTTTCCCAGACGTTGCTTAGCAGTAGCCATGCCCTTCTTTGGCCGTTTACCTGAAACAAAGAAAACAAATTGGTAAGAGTAATTATTATAAATACACAAACTATCAGCTATGACAATATGATCACATGCAGGCCGGAGGCTTCATGGACTAAATAAACCTTCAACTTGCCGATGGTATTGCAGCCTGAAGGTGGCAGTAGTGATCTGTTTAGTACTGTAACTGAGATACAATTACATTTAAAAAAAAAAAATTTAAAATATAGAAGAAAAAAAAATGTTTTACATTTGTCAGTCTTGAAAAAAATTCAGAGAGCAGTTTTTATTAAACCAGTGTACCAAATAAAAGTATATTATCCTTAAATAATAAAAATAAATATATACAAAAACATTAAGAGTTGTCAAATCAAAGCATACCAACGGTGATAACTTTGGCCTGGATATCAATGACCCCGAGTCAATATAGGGTACACTTAGGTTACCAATACCAATGCTGGGACCCATGCTATTCAACCTGTTTATTAACGACATCGGCGAAGGTGTAAACAGCGATATATCAGTGTTTGCTGATGATACCGAAATTGGGAGGGTAATAGAAACGGACCAAGCTAGTATAACATTACAGGAGGACCTGGATAAAATAGGGGAGTGGGCAACTATATGGCAGATGAGGTTTAATGTCGATAAATGCAAAGCAATGCACTTTTGGATTAAAAAATAAGCAAATGGGTTATACAATTATGGGTATGCCGCTAGGGGAGTCAGAAATGGAGAAAGATTTGGGGGTCATTGTAGACCACAAACTGAATAATAGATTACAGTGCCAGGTTGCTGTAAGCAAAGCTAGTAGAGTCTTGTCCTGCATCAAGAAGGGAATGTTTTGCAGAGACAAGTTCTGCCACTTTACACTTCCTTGGTTCGGCTTCACCTGGAGTATGTGGTGCAGTTTTGAGCACCAGTACACAGAGGGGATGTCATTGAGCTGGAGAGAGTCCAGCGAAGGGCAACCAAACTCATCAAGGGGATGGAGGACCAGAACTATGAGACAAGGCTACTAAATTTAAATATGTTCACGTTGGAAGTAAGGAGATTAAGGGGGGACATGATTTTCATGTACAAGATGATCAATGGTCATAGCGACATTAGCAACAAACTCTTTAAGATTAATTCTGTAACAAGGACTAGAGGACACCACCTAAAACTGGTAGGAAAAAAAATTCCAACTCAAGGGGCGAAGGGGGTTCTTCTCAGTTCGAGCGGTTAGGATCTGGAACTCTCTACCACAAGCAGTGATTTCAGCAAATAGTGTGGAATCATTCAAGAAGCTTTTGGACGATTTCCTGAGAGACCGTAAAGTACAGAGGTACAGGTTCTCCTAAGAATGAGAACACTCAGGGACCTATAACACACACACACACTTGATGGACTTATGTCTTTATTCAACCTCAAATACTATGTACTATGTATGTTCAGTCATTTTGTTAAACATTAACCAAAATAGTCAAAAGTTATTTGTTCCGGCCAAGGCAATTCTAAGAGAAGTAGTAAAGGAGGTTTCACAAAGATAAGGGGGTAGCAAGTGATACTGTGTGGGAATTTGGTACCTTTTGTTGCCTGGTTGCTGATCGGGGGTGGGTTTGAGGCAGGTCTCTTGGTAGGGTGAAGGGGCACAGAGGGTGAGGTCTCTCCATATATTCTGTCTGGACTCAGGCTGCCGTCGCTCAGACGAGAGTCTGCTGGGCTCAGGCTGCCCTCCTGGTCATACGTTTCTGGCTGGTACCGCGGGGAGACCCAACCCTCGCTCTCGGAGAAGCGCCTAATCTTGTGAGTGTTCGCACCCGCCTCTCCGGAGTGCTCCCGCCTGTGACTTTTTGCAGCTTTGCAGAAATCCTGTGACAAAACAACAATTGTTAAGATAACATGAGAGCTGGAACTTGTGTGGACGCTGAGTGGCAAACTTTTTGCTGCTTGGAAATAGAATTCGGCTTTATGGGAAGGCACTTTCAAATTCAAAAGGACAAAACTACCACACTGTAAAATATTTTGTTGGGGTGCACCGATACTAGTATCGGTGCCGATGCTAGGCATTGGAGTATAATGCTTCAATGCCTAGCCCGATACTTCCTGTATCAGGAAGCCAGGCAGCGGGTCATTACACGCTGCCCGGGCTCCTGATGGGCCGGGTCTATGCTCCCTCGTCATCTGTGACGAGGGATCATGGAGCAGACTTCCCTGGCCAATCAGGAAGCCGGGCAGCGTGTAATGACGCGGCGCCCAGCTTTCCGATTGGCCGGGAAGCTGGCTTCATACTCCCTCGTCACCTCATGACGAGGTAGCATGGAGCCGGCTTCCTGGCCAATCGGGGAACCGCGTCATTACACATCGCCCAGCTTCCTGATTGGCCAGAAAGCCGGCCCCATGCTTTCTCGTTACATAGTGCTAATCGGGAAGCCGGGTGGCGAGTCTTTACACACTGCCCAGCTTTCCAGCTAATCAGGAAGCAAGTCATTACAAGCTGCCTGGCTTCCTTAATGAGACTTCTGGTATCGGCGAGTACCGAAAAAAAAACCCACAACCATCGGTACTCGATACCCAAATACCGGTAACGGTGCATCTCTAATATATTGTCAGCTAAAAAAAACTAAAAGACACAAATGCAGCTTTGTTCATCCATACATCATTAGATGTATTTTTAAAAGCAACAAGTGTAACTACCCAAAAATGACCTGGTAGCAGCCTCTGTACAGCAGAACTTAGACTGGAAGAGCAGCCAGTCATTTGTGCTGCAATGCACAGAGCATGCTGAAAGAAGGAGAGCAGAGTGACCTTTAGATGAGTTTAGAAGTCTGCTTTCCCTTTCACTGTTCAGTCAAAAAGGTGGGGAGGGACAAACCCAAGTGTTACTTAACTGCAGCAGAGAAAAATCAAGTCTCCTGCCAGACAGGACTGTGCTGTGTGGCAGAGCTAGGTTAATCTCAGGACTATATGGACAAAAACACAAATCCTTTGGCAGCTCCCATTTATCTATTTCATATGTGTATTTAGCTGCCTGCACAGAATTCAGCTTTAAATTGTAAACAATGAAGCCTCAATCATGGACTGCTGGGCACGTTGGCTAACCCATATTGCCCTGGGAATCCTTTATCATGTATGAAATGTTTATTTGTAAAACAAAGGTTGTATGTAAGCGTGTTGCTGTCACAGGGAAAAGCAACAGGTTCACACAACTGCCCTCCTCCTTAGCTGCATACACCAATCTGCTCTTCACACCCCCTGGTGTAAACTCCAAGTAGCCACCTGGAGCATACACAGGCCTGAAGACTTTTCCCACCCTCATGTGACAACAGCACCGGATAGCTTAATGGCTAATCACCAACCACATGGGAAAAATGGGCTTAAGCCACATCTGCCCCTATACCCAAAAGTATCGGGTGTTTCTCTTATTTTCCAGCTGAAGAATGGCGAGGGAGCGAGGAAAGGAGACTACATTCTGCTTAGAAGGGCAACAATTAAGTACACTAACCCATTTCCAACCGATGACGGGATTATTCCGTCACAGTGTTTCAGTTCATTAAAGACCGGTGATGGAATCATCCTGTCATGCAGTACAATGAGCGCTGGTCCGTTCAGGGACCAGCGCTCATTGAGTTAATGCTGTTGCAGGGTACCTCAGGGTCTGTGGCAGACCCTCAACAGCAAATTAGGCTTCCCAGCACGATGGGCACTGCTCATGCTTGACCTAAGCTGGAATTTATACTTGGAGACCACACTGCCAAAAGTGTACATGAACACCACAGTGTTTTGTGCACCCCTTGTCACCATCCCAGTCATTTGAACATATAAACATGAAGGGTAAAGCCAGGCAGGATATTTTTGCTTGCCTGAATTTTACAGAACTGACTCTACCACCCCCTCCCTTCCTGACTAACACCCTAGCGATTGCTGGATTTACCCAAAAGTGTCCTGACATAACCAAACAAAAGGAATGTATAAAATTAAAAGGTAAACCAAGTACTTCCTTGAGCCCATTTTGTGCTGCAGCCTTTTGTTCAGGCTGCTGTGCGTCTTACATCATATATGGCTCTCAATGCAGCAAAGCAATGACTGGAGAAGATTCATAGAGGTTACTTCTCTCACCTGAGGATTTGACCCACATGAAAAGTCCATCTGACTGCTCCACTCTGTACTGGAATCATCTTCATTACTGTGACCTGAAAAGAAGAAAACAAAAAACATAAAAACCAAGGTGGGTTTACAACGGAGGAAAAAAACAAAACATATAACCAATGTTCCCACATGACAGTATGCTACAGACAAAAGACGGAAACTCAAATCACTTTCTCCAGCTTCCTTCTTGCATGGTTCTCGTCTTAAAACAGCTTTTCAGATTATCAGTGCCTTAGTCACCTTCCCATTGCACTGCCTCTTTGGATCAACTTTAACAGGTGCATATCTAAGGCCCCACAGAAATATTTTGATGGGCCCCCATCAGGGACAAGTGGCCTATATTGCACCCAGGTTTAAACAGCCTAAAATTGCTGGTCAGATATTGGTGGCTTATAATGCAACCAAACAGGGGTACACGTTGGCTACTGTAATGGTACACACTCACCAACAGGCAGTTTGAATTGGCCACTCCATCATTTGCAGGCACAAGGTTAGAGACTTGAATTACCCTTCGTGAGTCTCTGCTGTGCCAAACCTGGGCTGCATACTAAAGGGCCCAAGCTTCCCTGGATGAACTTAGTTTAGGGGTGGCGGGATTGATCAACGTGCTAAAATGGCTGCTTTTCTCAATCCCTGAACCAGCAATTGTAGATTCCAGTTTCACAAATGGACTGGGCCCACTCTTCCCCTGAGGCCCCACAGAATCTGCATTGGCCGCTATGGTTTTAGTTACACCCCTGAGGTTTACCCTGCAACAGAAGCACCCCACTCAAAGCTTGGTCAGAATGCATCACCAAGGACAGAAATTTCTATTCGGTGGATTAACACATGAAACACATGCTCACCATTGGTCAACGATTCTGGCTCTTGAGATTCCACCTTCTCCTGAGAGAACTTGATGTGCAGCTGAGGATATATACGCCCAATTTTGCAGCCAGTGCTCTTTGCCTCTGCAGGAGGCCAAGAAGAACAGTGCAAAGATGCCATAGACAACATGCCCTCAATTGCATCCTCCTCCATGCTGGTCGAACTGGGACATTCACTGGAAGCAAGACAAAATGCTCACTAAATGGAACTTATGGACATGGGCAAAAGATCAGAGCAAGAGACAAAGCGATATGTTGATCAAATCAAAATTATTTTTCCTATACAACTGGTGCATATACATCTACAGTCTTCCCTTACTGTATCTCAGGCATACGTCCCTTTCCTAACTAGTGGACAACACTGGTGCACTTAGGCATGCAAAAGTGCCCAGCAAAACATACATCATAAATGTGCTTGATTTGCAAAGACAAAAGCCTCAGGTGGCCTCCAACTGTTTTGGTTCATTAAAAAAAAAAAAAAAAAGTTATTTCAATGCGAAACGGAAGGGTTTCCAGTTCAGATACACATACAATGTGATTATCCGAAGGCAAAAGTAAAAATGACAGCAACAGATATGCAGAAAGACAGAAATTGTACTATCCACCACCATTTTCATAGTTTTACCTCCACTATCCTGTTCCAGCACATGTGCAGGCTGTCTAAATAGGACTATACAGTTCGAGTTAGATGCAGCACATTCTGTAATCAACACTTTGCAAGACAAGTGTCTATGTAAGACACTTGTGCCGAGGGGTGTGGCCGTTACTCAGCTGTACCAGTACAGAGCACTGCAGTGTGAGAGCAAGATGCAGAGGTTCACAGAGGGAAAATTGTATTTTAAAGCAGGTATAAGGCTATAAAGAGATAATACATATTTTTATATGTTTAAAGCCCAGTAAATACATTTGTAAGTATTTAAATGTTTTGTTTCGGATAGTACTATATACACATGGGGGTACCCATATGTTCTCATTATGTATACAGGCTGTTCTTCCTATCTAGTAGTAGTGCTTGGCAGTTCCGCTCCATCTACTATGTTCTTTTCAGCAAGAAAAAGCATGAAAGAGCCCCGCCGTACAGAGATTATCTAATAAGCAAGAAAATCTCCAAGCAGCAACAGCTACCTCCAATAGAAAAATCGTCATCCCACACAGCTGTATCTTCACATCAGGCTGTGGATCTGGTGGCAGGATTGGGGACTTTGTTTACCCAGCATGTCGGTGTTTATGTCACCAGTTGTTACCATACAAAACAGCTGCCTCTGTTGCATGTAGACAAGCAAAAAAAAAAAAACCGCAACAAAAACACACCTTTTTCGCGGTATTTCACTAGCTGACCAGTAAAATCCGTTGTTGCAGGTCGTGTCCTCTTCTTTAATATTTGCTGTGTATTTCTGCTGCTGCTCGTCACCTGAGCTGTCCGAATCTTCTGAGGGATTTTTCTGCTGAATCCAAAAGGAAAAGACAGAAACACTCAGACAACACAAACACATTACCATTGTTTGAGGTTGGGATCATAGGCTTAGCATATTTTTTAAAAAGGTAGTAAGTAGAGCTGCACCAAAATCAGATTATTAAAACCGAAAATAAAAATGTGAGGCCGAAACTGGGGAAAAAAAAAAAAATTTCTAACCCTTTCAAATATTTTAATTGATTTTTAAACTTTACTGTTGGGGGCTCCGGGGAAATATTGAGGTCTAAACAGGCCCCTGATATTCCCTTTCAAAATAGAAAAAAAGAGATTGGAGGACTCTTTTTCTGCGGCCCGTTATCAATGAACAGGAAGTCTCTATACGGAGTGTTCCTGTTCATTCATTACTTGCGGAGATGGTATGTTTTACTATAACCACAATCATGAATGAACAGGGGGTGATGTAGATCACTTCCCCATTCATTCATAATTGGGGACACAGTAAACATACTCTGTCCTTAATTATTTGCAAACACTCAGCGATCTCCATCCTGAATCGCTGTCACAGGAGGCTGAGTGAGCATTGCAGGGAGGAGAGCTCGATCTCCTCTGACAGCTGACTCAGTCCAGAGGGGACACAGAGCAGCGCCCAGCGGGGAGGAGAGAACAACGCATGCACTGCAATTTCGGCATTTCGGATGATATGTTTCGGCAGCTGAAATTTCAGTGCATTCCTAGTATTAAGTTTTAAAAATATAGCTGATGTATAATTATAAAAACTCCACTGTCCTAGATTAAGGGACCACTATACCCAAATAGCATAATTTGCATAAAGTGGACAAATATGTAAACATCCTTCCCCTTTATTCACCCTCAACCGTATATTTATATGTGAGCAGGAGGATCTTACGGCTATTCATTCAACCATATGAATAAATATTAATCCTAATATGGACTTTGTATTGTGACTGCACTACATGGGGTGTTGGTAGATCTATACAAATTAGTACAATCATATTGTAATATGTATAGATGGCATAATTCATACTTCGTTGTGAATGCCGTTAATAGTCTTTTTATATTAAATATAAAACTTGTTTCAGGAACACTGGTCTTGCTTTACTCATGCAGGCCACTGCTGCCCCTGCGTTGCTTATATTTACTTTACCTTGACTACCCTGCCACTTTATTCAGAAACAGGAGCAAGGGGAAAAAGCTATTTGAAAGCTCCAAGTCAGTCGAGTTAAGAGTTTACACAGGGCTAAAAACTCTCCCTAGTCCTACATGAGAACACAGGTGACCAGCAACTGGTCACACAGGCACCCAGTGCCACATTATGGGAGTAAGGGGAGAGACTTCCATATTTCCTCATTCCTGCAAGTATCGGATAGCTCTTTTTACACCATGCTGCCAAACAGAGCAGCTGGACAGAAAAAGTAAGAAGGGGTATTAGAATGATCCAGTTTCCTCTACATGGCCAAAGCAAACATTTCTGTTAAGACTCTAACAATACAAAGTAGCCACTAGGTGGCAAAGCTTGGCGAGAGTTCTATGTGGCCTTTCCCACAAGACCTGGGAACATTTCTGGTAAGACCATTAACATTGGACAGCAGCATGGCGAGGAAACTGAGATCATGAAATCTAATGACCTTTAATTATTAACAAAAAAAGGATTTCAGTATTGATTAGCCAGGATCCTTCCTAATCCCCATGGGAAGCTGAAAAGCATTTTCCTTTAACACACGACTTAGAATTCTACAGGCTTTAGAAATGAACCCATTAAAAATAAAATGGGCAGAGAGACCCTTTGAGCACAAATCTTTAACTTGCTGCAAGCAGTGGTGTACTGACTGCTGGAGAACCACAAGGTCCAGCATGGGGAACCATACATCTTAGGTAGGTACACCCAAAATTAATATTTTGATGAATAGAGGTTCTGCAAATGCATATTTCATGTTTTAATGTCTGTGGCAAGAGGATGAGCTGCAGACTCTGGTGCTCAGATCTCAATCACTGCTGGGGTCCCTAGCAGAAGTTAAGCCAAACCTTCCAGCTAGTTTAGCCGACAGCCTAAACTAGATGGAAGATTTGGCTGAACGTGCACAGATTTTCACCATCAATAATAACTCTAACTTGTAATTAATAGACAACTGCGCATTCATGCAACTTCCATGGCCGATCAAGCAATTACAATACTATTATGTTATTAAGACATTATCACAGGTAAAAAGTGAAAGCACTTGAACAGAAAAACAAAGAGGCACTAAGTTCCTATATTTGTTCCAAGCACTCCCCATCAAAATTATGAACTCCTACTTTCTACAACTGCGGCTTTTCACCAGATTTGTCTGGGCCCATGCTCCTCCTCGTTTTAGACACAGTGTGGTGACCTTACCAAAAAGCTTTGGGGTGTTGACCTTCCAGATCTGGCCAAATACTATAAAGCATCCCTGCCAACCAGAGTGGTCGACTGGTGTTGCCATGTTAGTTTTAAATGTTTGCCATGGCTGTCGGACACTTTGCCTCTGCCCATCTGCGCTCTGCCTACCATAGCTACAGCTGTAAGGCAGGCGCTATCTCTTCAAATCCACCTCCTTCTCTCCGTTCTTCTCACCCATGACACTAGTGCTTGTGGACCCAGACTTTCCGGCGTGCATGGATGGAGGTAGGTTGCAACGTTTATATAAAGGCGAAGGTTGTTCGAGTCTGCAACTTCTGGAAACAGGATCATTGGCTTTCCACTTAGAACATTCAGCTTACTGTGGATCCCCCCTACAATTGGATCGATGGAGTGTAAGTCAACTTGGAAATTTTTTTACGCTCCAATCCCAACCCTCAATCTCTTTTGCGAACTTTGACTTCTTTTGAAACGCTTTGCCGCAAGGGTAAACCGGTTTGACATGTGGTTTTTTATATTTACTCCAGTTTGGCAGGACCCACTTTCAATTCAGAACCCCGTTTTGTGGCTGAATGGGAGAGGGATCTCGATCTTCAGTTCTCTCAAGCTCAAAAGGATAGTCTATTTTTTTTTTTTGCACATAAGTTGTCAATCGCTTGCCAAGTCCAAGAACTAGGATATAAAATTGTTTCCCCGTGGTATAGAGTGCCGACTTTTCTGCACTCTATGTTCCCTCAGGTCTCACCTCTCTGTTGGCGCCGTCAGTCGACCCTTGGCACAATGTTCCACATTTTTTAGGCATGCTCAAAGGTGCGTCCCTTTTGGGACGTGGCCATGGAGATTGTCGAACAATTGACCATGGCAAATCTAAGGGACAATCCAGCAGCTTTCTTGCTCCGCCTTATGGATACCTCTACCAGTAAATACAAGTCATCCCTAATCGTCAATTTACTAAATGCTGCCTGTGTATGTATTCCATTGCTCTGGAAACAAACCGCCTCCCCATCTTTGCGTATGTGGCTTGTTTTTATCTTGAGGCTGTTGTCTAAGAGACCGGAAGAGGCCACTGGAATGCAGGATTTACCCCTGCAGCTGCATTCAAGCTGCAGAAAGATTGTGTGGTGCCTTTACAGTGTTGGAGCAACAAAGAGGGGGCAGTAATCATATTTTTTCTTCTTGGACCACTTTAGCATCAGCAACAGGGGTTTTGTTGCTATAAGTAATCCAAGACTGGTTCATTTTAATGAAAGCAAATTGGTCCACACTGTCATGGGACAGTTGGATTCGCTTCTCCATAGCATAGACTTAGTTACTATGTTTGCTTGGTGAAGGGACAACCTACGGTCCCTAAACGTTGCTGTCCACTGGTGTTGCAATGTTGTTTAGTGTCTGAATAAAGGTGTTTACACATTGGACCTTGGAGTGCAGGTGACTTTTTACAATACTTGGATTCACACGGCACCATCTGCTGGTTATTGATGGTCTAATTTTTTGGCGAGTGCAGTATGAGGAAGTTAATACGGCACGCACAAAGGGGAAGTGGGGAGTGATTCAATTTATATTTGCTGAAATACGAATACATCGTTCAGCACTTTGATGTAAGAGCACACAGTGAGTTTCTTCATTTATATATTTGTATGTTATGGACTATATATTTTATATGTGGACTTGACAATCTTTAAGTGTAAGCACTTTATGACACGGATGGTTTTTACTGGTAGGATTTGATTGCTGTAGGAGATCTATACACATGACAAGGTTGGTGTATTATCCATTTGTGAATTTTATAGAGATGTAGATATTTAATTTAGTTTTATTGGTTGAGCTCAGTGCACTTTTGAAACTTTAGAATTGTTCAAGTGATTTTCACTTTGGCACAGCTGCTAGTGTTTTTTTCTAGATCGGGTAGAAGCACGGATTTTTAGTATATTATATCTGTGTACCTGGTTAGTGCAATTTGCTTCGGATCCTTCAGAATCAGAAATATCGGAATATTCTGAGGTTCCATTCCTGAGTTCCGATTTGACACTTTCGAAAAACACTGAAAACAAAAATTAAACATTAGGAAAGTGAATATGACAGAAAAGCAGCAGTTTGATGATCAGCTACCAGAAAGTATAGAAAACTCGTTTGCCACAAGGCTCAACAAAACTTAAAATAATGTTTGTGGATTAAATGATTAAAGCTGGAGAAAATTACCCTGTTTCATGTCTATCAATTTTAGAGACAGAATAATATTACCCAAACCTACTGAAGGATCCCCAAATAAATCTTCCATGATATCAGGACCTAAATCATGGGTAGGGTAGGGTAGGGAACAGCAAACAGTGTATCGCATTTTGCAAGACCTACTATTAAGTGGTTTCTGAGCTTCTTCTTTGCCCTCGGCCTCCGAGCTGGAGCAAGACTTCTCTGCTTTAATATTCTGGGCTTTTCTTGACCTGGCACGGTCATCTTCATCGTCGCTGTCAGCAGTGTACAGACTGCGGTCAGTGAACTGCTGTCTTTCATCTCTGTGTCGGAAAAACACGGAAGACTCATTAATAAAAACAGGAACAGGCAGCCTGTTGTCAAGTACTGACATTACACACTCACTTCTTCCAGGAATAATCCTGGAAAGAAGAATAGAACTACAGAGCGCATGGATCTACACTTCACTCATTCCACATAATTGACTGGTTTTAAAGAGTTAACCCACCCACAGCTTCTAGAGTCTATGCCGTGGCCCACAAAACTTAGAAAAAACAATACCTAGAGGTACTGGGTATTTCCAACAGCTCCAACAGGAAAATGGAGCAATGGAGGCTACTTCATGACATACATCTTCTTAGATCTGTCAGGCCTGGTTCACACAAAGCGCGTTCCGGTTACAGACCGGAGCAAAACTGCGTCCAATGTATTCCAATGGTATTTTTAGCTCCAGTTCACATCGCAGCGTTCAGTTCCAGAGCAGGTAAAAAAAAAAAAAAAACTGCAGCAGGCCCAATTTTACCTGCTCTGGAACGCATGCAAACGCCCTGGAACGCACTGAAAGCCCATTTTAAACTAAAAAAAAAAAAAG